CTCCACTGCAAACTGGTTGCTTTACAATGATGTTACAGTAAAGATTACCTTTATCAGATAATGACATTTTGATTACAAACACTGTACATGAAAGCATTAAGGGCTGTTTTTAATAATCTGAGAGTTCTTTTCTTTCTTTGCTGTTGCATCTCAAACATTTTTGTCTCAAATTAATCTGTGTGTTGACGTCTACAACCCGCTGTAAGAAACTGAACTGATTATGTGGATAAGAGGACCAAGAGGTATGGCTGTAATCTGCTTGCAGTATGAGAAGGGCATTTGGGAATCATGAGGACATACATGTTCATTCCCTTTGGTTATGTAAAAGACTCAGAGGGAGTGGCCCAAACGTGAAGGGGATCATTGCCTCAGGTTTGTCCGTGTGCTGGTGAGCCTGCATGCAATTGCATAAGACTCTTTTCGGACACTCTTTTCGTACGCTGTCCCGAGTCCAAGGGATTTCTACCCACTTTGACTAACTCTGTCGTCACTAGCATGGCAGGTTTCTGTCTGTCCCCTCCTGGGTTGGATAAATGTGACATCTAATATATTATATATTTGTTTTGTTTATATTAACAATTCATTGTTTTCCATCATCAGGAGGAGAGAGAATCCTCCCTGACGATAAAGTCTGTAACTGAAACTACTTTTGTTTCATTACGTTTCATTAAATTATTTATTTTTTAATTAGTTTTATCCAATGAATTCTTAATTAAATGATTATGATGATTATGGTAGGGTGGGGTAACTAGGTTTAAAAAGCAAAATAGGAAAAATTAAACAACAGATGCTAAATATTCACCCTCTGCCAGACATTTGGAGTTCTCACTGTGCCAAAGTTAATATAAATCCACATGAAATAATCTGTTTAGGTTTTTCAAATGAGAATGACAAAAAGAATAATAGCCTACTTACTACTTCAACTTCACTACATTTTTTCCTATGATTAGTGAATAGTAATACAACATTTCAGCTATTAGCAACTTTCATCTAAAATCATCTGGATCTAAACCAGCTTTCAGAAAAATACCTGATCCATCAAATCCATCCACTGTTGAAGAAAACTTAGTTAAAGAATGTATGCACATCAATACACACACATTCAATGCACATGGATGTTGTACAACCATTAATTTGTGTCAAATGTCCCAGTAATACCCACAAATCTGTGTGTTATCCCACTACACTACCTGTTGATTGGAATGATGTTCTGAAACCAGATGGAGTGTTAATGAGAGCATTATCTGACATATAAGCCTGTGTGAGCCAATATGTCTGACTATTTCTCTTAATTGTATTGTGAAATCCAAACTTATCTGCACATTTGTGTGTTATGGTAGATGCATGCCTGCATGCATACGTACTGTTTGTATGTGCTGAACTGCTGGCAGGAAATGTTGCTGATTCAGGCTTCAGCATGATAAAGGCAGTGATGAACTGAGCAACCACCTCTGTGTCTCTGTGCATGTTTGTGTGTGTGTGTGTGTGTGTGTGTGTGTGTGTGTGTGTGTGTGTGTGTGTGGGTGTGTGTGTGTTGTATGCTTGTGTGTCATCCTAATGAGCAGGCCCATTAGAGAAGACCTATTAAGGCTGTCATGAGTGCTCCATACAGCCCTTTATGCCTCCCTCCTCTCCTGTCAATCTCTAAAGAGGCCAGGAGAATAGATGGCCACCAGTGATAGCCATCGACAAGTAAGAGTTACTTAAAGGAGTGTCAGCAGGGGATCAGTCAGAAGGGTTTAATATTAAATGAAGGACAGGCTCGGGTTCTCTCTCCTCTGTTAGGGGTGAACATTAGAGCCTCAATTACTGCTGGGAGCGATTATCAGCAGTGGGGAGCAAAGGACACAGAATAATCATACATACAGTACAACGGAGAACTCAGCACTGTTTCCATTCATCTTTGACTGACAGATAAATTCTGCTTCTCTTCAAGCACAATTTCACACAGACAGAGGTGAAAAGTGGTAGGTGTTCCTGCTATTTTTAATCACTAAACATTAGGCCTAGACTATGTTTAAATGATTAGGTAATTTGAAGGCAACTGAGCTACAGCGCTGTAGAGGGGGATAAATGTGTTTGTATAATGGATGATTTGGGAGGAACGTGAACTCTCTTAAAGAAGTCTTAGAGATTGTTGCCATAAGTTTCATAGCAGGCCAAACACTCCTGGTTATTCTAGGCTAGAGCTGCCTAACTTCTGAGTCATGCCCACAAAAGTGTGATTCTGTGTTTGCAGTGGTGGAAATGGGGGATTTTGAAAATCTATTCAATGTTTTTTATAAGGAGGAAATCTGTTTCTAAAGCTTGTTCGTGAAAGGATTTATTGTGCTTGAACGCACCACAAATCACTTTCAGTGTCACGCTCTCTTGCTGCCCAATTCCGCAGACAAACACCACTCTAAAACACTGCGACAGCAACAGGCGAAAGCATTATGGTAAACGCCTTTCTGGGGTGTACTCCAGAAAGCGGGTTTAGTGAGATGAGGGAAACTTGGGACAAAAAACTATAGTAACTGACTCTGTGAACGTGAGATTCTCTCTGTCTCCATCCTCTGAGAAAGCCAGACACGCTGTTTTATTTCCTCATTGATTCAGTCCGCATCAAAGAGCATCTCAAAGCGCATTAATTACCGGAGGTTTACTGTCAGAATCAAAGGCCTGGTCGGATATTAGATTGATACTCAAGAATATCTAAATTTACCGTTTTTATGCGATATAATTTCTTTGAAGACATCAAAATCGAATCAAGTTACCCTCAACTCAACCCTCTGCATGTCTCTTTTGCAAGTGGAAGTTCTTAAAAAAAAGATATGAAACTTTAGACAAGTAGGATCAATGAATAACTATCATTCATGGTGTGATTTGTAGCACTGATACACATAATTCTTACAGTTCTGGAGATTATACATAAATGTTTGTGAGTGAGCAGGATGGTGGTGCAGCTGCAGAGTTTGAAAGTGAGTTTTTTTAATAAGCTGTGTATGGTCTGAATGTGTTTTAACAGCATTTCAGTGACGGTTTTAATTTACTGCATTTGTTGAAGTAGCTGAATCTTTTTTTTTTAACACATATGTGACCGCATGGATGTGTTTCTCTATAAAAAATGCAAACATGGTGTAAAAGGATCTCAAAGTAAAAGCTGCACATTTAAAGCTTACTGGCAAACATTACCATATAGAACACATCTTTAAAATTAAGTTTTTGTTTTTTTATGCACTGTTTCTGGTTTACCTGACCTGGGCCCAGGTCTACTTAGACACAACATGGTATATGTAAGGTACAGGGGTGCTTTTCAGCCAATAAATGATCCAGTTCAAGATGCATGTGTAACTATGACAGCAGCAGCAGCAACTAATCCTCCTCTCTATCCTAACACTCTCTCAAAGTGAGTGAGTAACAGACAGATCAGACAGGATGCTGTATTAGTGTGCTTTTACTGTACCCAAACTACACAAACCCATAAGGAAATGGAACAGAAAAACCCAGTGCACTGTGGCCGCAGGGGTGCAGTATAGCAAAATAATGCGATAATACACAGAACTTTGTGTTTTCAAAGACTTCAGTAGAGGCATTTCAATTGAACTTCTATTATTATCATTCATATTTTCATCTAATCTGGTCTAAATCCATGGGCTCAGAGCTTACTATGACGTCTGGAACAAAACTGCAGGATACTTCAGAGATCGTAGAAGATCATTTAATCACATGTCGGGGGGGCATTCTTGGCCATGATATTGATTTCTAAGAATTTTATTTTCATTTGTTATTGTTTCTTTATTGTGCCGTCAAACAGAAGAGGCTTAAGAGCAAAACTATGGATGCTGCAATCAGAGAATATGTTATTGCAAGTACAAGAAATTTGTGATTAAAAATGCATTTATTCATATCAAAAACTTTTGTTTGCAAATCCCAAAGTTAATTGCTCAAATCCAAACTTTGCTTTTGAGCTGCACCATCTAAACTAGCCTTAACCTTGAACACACATAGTTAACACATTAAATTATGTTATATATGTGATGTGCTCTATTCTTTTATCAGGCTGACAAATTAATATGTATCCTACTAAAGAAATCTACATGCACCATAACACTGTTCCTAATACTAATACAGAAGTTGTGTGTGTAGGTCCTCTCCGTGGACTATATTCATCACTTCAAAACTCCCTCTCGTGTTTACTAACAGTAGATGTTTCAGACTTTCCACTCCAATCGAGTCAACTTTTTGATTAATACATTTTTAATCACAAATTTATTTTACTTTTTTTAAAAAATTTGATCGCAGTCTAGAAAGTTCTGTTTAATTGCATAATAAAGACACAACATTAACTACATAATCTAACTGCTACAGTGCACTGAGAATTGTTTTTCCCCGTTAATTAAAATGTATCATTCCGTCATCATTTTATTCATTGCAGACACACTCTGGAATTAGTAAACTTATCATGATAAAAAACATGCCATCACAGTCCAAGCATAATAACACCAACAAAGGAGAGACAGCGTTCCTAAGGGGCAGTTAATAAAATGATTCATGTAAGCTATGTTTTAACTGTAGGTCAGTGTGCTCCTCTGGTAGGTCGGGTTAGCAGGATCAAGAAGGAAGCTCCATGTTTCATGCATGAGGTTGCTGATTTGTTTACTGTAAGGAAAAGCCGAATAGATCAAGCTCAACAGTTCCAGTGGTGTGGTTCACCAGATCACACTGACCTGCTTCTGTTGGGTTAACAACCGCAGACAGCCAGCAGGCCACAGACACCTCTCCTTTTGTTACTGGGAACCAGAGCCTAATACTGGAAGGAGCAGCACTAGATGTAATTAACGGGAGAGGGACTGGAGCTAACAAAGGGACATCGCCCAGACCTGTGTGGCCGAAGTCAGACTCTCAGCTACACTGTTTACTGAATTTTAAACAGCTTTCAGCGCTGACATCAAAGTTTTTATATAACCTTACCATGGTTGTATTGAAATCAGTATACACAGAACCAGTCAGGTACTCACACAAGGAAGTGGTAGAGGAAGCATTTTAGTCCAGCAGGTCTCTCTAGGAAGTTGTAAACATCCCCCTGCATGCTAGTCTTGATGTAAGGGCTGTGGAAATCCTTTTGATGATGCAGCCAGCTCGAACGAGGGAGAGGTGGAGGGACAGGTGGTGGGACAGAGGTGATAGACGGCTGACTGTGTATGGTCTGCAGCGCTCGGTCCTTTGTGTCCGCTGGCGGACAGCAGGGAATGCCTGATCCATTATTCACCGCTGTGGGGTCCTGTTCCAGTGAAACAGGAGAGTAGTGGCTTCTGTCAGGTTCAGGAGCTAGGGCAGAGCTAGAAGTTGTAGTTCTGGACGCTTCAGGGTCAGCATCCATCTCCTGGGCCAGGCTGAGGCTTGTGCTGGCATAGCCGTTGGGCCTGTAACTTATGAAACAGCTCCTCATCCTGCTGCCATATTCACGTTGCACGTGGCACGTCGTGTGGAAGGACTGTGTCCGTCTTTCCCCCATGTCGCCCTCCAGGATGGTCCAGTTCAGAGAGGGCCAAGGGGGAATGAAGAGTCCTGTAATGTCCTGTAGGTTATGACCAAGGTTCAGGTGGAAGCGCTAGCTAGAGCTGGCTAGCTACCCGCTGCAGACAGGAGCTCTCGCTGCTGTATCGCATGTGTGTCCATACCTGCAGTGGAAGAAGTGACATGAGTCATGGAGATAATATGACTGAAAGTAACCCTTGCCCTATACTAGGACCTTGTTATTTTAGCATCTGTCATGAAAAATTCAAGACATGGACACTGCAAAGCTTAGTTTGATGATGATGTTTATAAAATTAATTTAAAATGTGCAGCAACTATATAAACATCTGCTACAGTAGCTGCTACACATGGCATTCAAGCACAGCAGGAACATATTTTTACTCCAAAAACATTTGGCAAATACTAAAGGTCTTTCCCTTCAGCATGTTACTTTTGAACAGGAGCCATACGTAGATCAGAGACCTACAGTGCTTAGGGCCACTGCCACTGATGGTGCAGATCAGTTTCTCAACAGTTCATGCAAGAGAATATATAGCGCCATGTTTATGAAGTTAAAAAGTGAAGGAAAAGAGAGGGGATCGTGAGTAAGAAATCATAGTGACATTTCTATGATTTTTTTGCAAATAGTTAGACTGGTAAGCTTCTACACGGTGACTCATGACCTGTGCAATTAGGTGTAACAGTAACAGACACGTAATATTCCAAAACAAAATCACACATAAGTTAATGTGACAGCGACACAGGTCCATTTTCCGCCCACTCTCTCTGAGGATTTACTACAAAAAAATAAAAGCATCCTGTTGCATTGTCCTTGATGGATGTCAAAAACCTGTCTCTGGTGCAACAAATGCTCAGTTTGCTAACATTTAAAAATATATATAATCCAGTGTGTTTACCAGCTTACAACACTTTTAAGACAGTACAGCTGAAATGTGACCTCCCGTTACACAAATGTCACATCACCAGAAGCTTAGTCTAAGTGCAAGCTGATGGAAATTAGACTGATTAAAGCCGTGGATGGTTGCAGCCATGTGAATGAGAGTTTTGCAGCCTGTCTTTCTCTATTTTTTTTCCTCACAGTCCAGTCAAAACAAAGTCAAACATTATTTAAGAATACACATTAATTCAAGTGAGCACAAACTGTCAAAACATCCACTACTTGCCTTTGGAAATAGGTGCAATGAAGTGAACTAAATAGTGCGAGTCCAGGTAAGTAGTTTGCTGTGTGAATTGTGCAAAGAGAGCTGCACATCAGGAACACATCCTCCATACTGTGTCTATTACAGGTCTTTATGTCTGCAAATGGCGATGAACCTGTAACTAAGTCTGGACAGCATGACAACTTGACAAAAACACTTTCCATCTCCCAAGTGAAGTCTGCTCCTGGCTGACTTATGTATACAATTCATTAGTGGATCAACGTAGGTGGTTCAGTATCTTCTCTTGGAAAGACACTGAACCAGGTAGTGTGATAGATGGACGGATGTTGACTAAAAGGATGGAAAAAGTCTCATGGGACAAGAGAGGTAGGCTAATTGGAGGCAGCCACCCCCGTCTGTATCTGTCCTCAACTATAGTTGAACTGATGACAAGAGCCACAAGTGCTGCTTTCTCCCTGTAGATAGAGTTTCTACCTTTAAAACTACATAGTCATGAGAAAGACAATGAACTGTCAAGACATGCAAAGGCTGCTGTGGGACTCAGTTACAGAGCATTGTGTGTGTGTGTGTGTGTGTGTGTGTGTGTGTGTGTGTGGACTTTCCGACACAAATTAAATGACAGCTGATGATGATGTTGGTTAAAATAAATAAAGCCTTACTTTTTTGTGTGTTTTTTTTTTTTTTTTTTTTTGTTAATGTCATCTGCTTAACTAACCTCGTGAAAGCGGTCAAAAAAAGCGCAGGTCTGGTGGTTTGTCTAATGAAGCTGCATAATCAAGCAAATGTTAAGTCAATATTTGCAATCAATTAATGCTACAAGCTAATGGTCGTAGCTGAGCCCTTCAAGAATTAAACAGCAAAACGATATGGCAAACCAGTGTGTCAGTTCTTACCTTTTACTCCAGAAACACACCTCAAGTTGCAATCGGTGGTAAATGACGTGTTATTATCCCAGAAGCCAGGCAACAAGTTTTTTTTTTTTTTTTAGTTTTTTTCAATAAAAACTAGAACCGGTCGTAAAATAACTAAATTAAGTAAGTTAAACCGTATCTTCCATCGCTATAAAACAAACCCTAACATCGTAACTACACAGAGGGCACAAGCCTTTAATCGGCTGCTGCCTGCAGGACTTGTCCCTTTGAAGAGCATCGCAGTTTGTGCCTGGACAAGTGCTGCGTTCACGGGTTACGGGATATTTGCGAACAACAAAGTGGTACCCTCCATGGCAAATCCTCTATTTGCTACCAAGTAGCCAAGATGCGAAATGACGTATTAGTACAATAGCAATTAATCTCCGTTTTTTAAATATTAAAAACTAATACTATTACTAAATCATTACTATCTAACTAATACTATTTAATCAAATAGTTTTGTCTCTAAAATTTCAGAACTTAAGGATGCTTTCTAATTACTTTTCTGTCAATCCAACAGTCCAAAGTCCACAAACCAAACAAAAACAAGCTCCAAAAAAACAAAACAACTTCTGTTTACGTTAAGTGTTACTTAACTGAAAACCTGTGTGTTTATTTGGCAAATTCATTACCACCATATGTTGTTGATTATTGTCATTTATAGTGAAATCATTTCCAACATTTGGTGATGATAATGGTAAAATTGTGGTAAAAAAAAATAATAAAAACATTAATTACACACATGTGAATTTATCACTGTTAAAACACATTACCTTGATGTCACTTGATTTCCAAAATGAAATATCACGCCATTGTGTTATTATTATTTTCATACATTTAGGCCCTGTCCAGCATCACTGGCCAGGCTGGATGACCAACCATGCAACACGGGCAACCGCACTGAGAACCTAGACTTCCAGGGGCCCCAAAAGCCCCAGATTTCCTTGTGTGTTAGCTGCACACAGTAAAGCATAATTAGCATAATTTGATTAACTGCAACCTTTTATAGGAACTCGCGATACTGATGTTACATTACCTTGTTTGATACTACACTATCAAACAAAGTGGGTCCTGCATTATTGAATGATATGGTGGCCTTCATGTCAAAATTATGATCACTTTCACTTTACTTTATATTGAGACCTCATGATCTATAATCCTAAATAAAGTTGAGGTTTAATCAAATTACCTTCCAGTCATTGATACACAGAACTCCTGGGGCTTGTTTTGCCCCTGGCCCCCTAACAAGATAATCCAGCCATGCACAGTAGGATTGTTTTTTCAGTTAAGATTAAACTGGGAAATACAGTTCCTGTATAATGTAACAGCATACACCCCCTGTCCACTAGAAGAGCAAAAAATGTACTATTGACTAAAGAGTGTGCACAAAATCATAAAGATTTCACCCCATCTGAATCTACAATTGACCTGCTTGAGCTGACTACAGTACAAAATATAAGACAAACTTCTTTGCACTTCTACACCCACATGCAGGCTCTTCTCCTTTTACACCAGGTCCAGTTAATCCCATTTTATCCCCCTGTATATTTACATATACTAATACTCCCGCCACTTGAGCGAAAGTGAACGCTGTATGCTGCTGAACACACTGTCTGTATAATAACAGCACACACTTACACATTTTAAGTGTGTTCAAACTGGTTCCCAGCGAAACCACGACCTTGCTCATGTCCCACTCTCTCCTAAATTAGTGTGGTTGTGTTTTCTTACAGTGTAGCATCTTTACTGGTTTCCACCTCGGAAGCATGAGTTTACGGAGGCACGTAAACGCAACACGTTTCAAAAAGCAGCAGCTGGTGGAGGGCACCCGCTGGACTCACGTGGACGGTTCGCGCGCTTACAGGTAATGCACAGGAGGACGGGTTGTTGTCGTAATTTTAACCGAAATATATTTGAAAGCTTATTTGTAAAAGTTTTACCTCTCCGTGAAGCACCGACGTTCATGTTGAGCTGCGGTGCGACCCCGGTGTTCACCTGCAGGAGGCGCTAAAACACTGACCGCGGGCTCATTTAAACACTTCGCAGTTTTCATGGTTTGTCCCTCGCTGTTTTCCATAGTCACTGTGGGTGAAAACATGGCTGCACACACAAGCAGAGCATTCCTGTCTCTAGGTCGAATAAATGTTCCTGGTCTTGGACTTCATAAATCCGTGAGCAGGGTCACATACTCGACCGGGTTGTCTACAGATTCGTCTAAAGCGACTACAGGTGAGTTTCACTGTCGCTGGGAAAAGAGTCCACTGACTCAGGACCAGCGCTGTACGCTGAGCTAACCCAAGGCCAGTTAGGGAACCTCCTGTCCTTTGACAGCGATATACAGAGAGAGAGATAAAGCAGCAAGAGCGTCTAAAGTTGACGGATGACTAACTGTTTTAATGCAGGAACAGGTTTGTAAGTGTAGCTCCCACCGTAAGCACCCACTGGGGATTTAAATGAGATAATAGAAGATGAGCTGGTGCATGAATCTGCATATTGAAAAATGTCAAATGTCAATAGTGAAAAGCCCAAGTTGATACCACAAAAATGCTTGTTTTGTCTGACTTCAAATTTTTAAAAGGTCCAAAAATCAATATCTTTTTTTATTTTAAACTCAAAAACCACAAAATATTCAATTTAACATACACTGATATACTGTATAACTTTAAAGATATATGCACGGTATTTTTTTTTTTTTTTTTTTTTTATTTTTTTTTTTTTTTTTTTTTTTTTTTTTTGTATCTAGTGTGTACATACAAATAATCACAAATAAAGTAAATATCTTAAGTAAACACAGAAATTGCACTTGAGAAATGGGATTTGTGTAGTAGCTAAAGTGTCTTGTGCAGATAACAGTGTTGGCGGTACATAAAGAAATGCTACTGTATTTATATTAGACATTTTCACATTAACAAAGTTGATGCATGTGTGGCTGAACTTGAAATATGATCAATTTTAGGCTCCCCTCAGAAAGGCGGTAAAAAAGTCCTTTCCAAAAAATACAAAAGAGAGGTAAGTGTGCAGCTTTTCTGTTTTCCAAGGCTAAATTTAACAAGATGCAAATATTTCAAAAATGATGAGAGTCGTCATGGTTCTGCAACAAACAAGTCATGGATTTTCTCCCTCGTTTCTTTTGTCTTCTGTGTTTTGTATCAGCCAGGGGATCCCAGGACAGAGCTGATGCCAGTGGATCAGGATTGGACTGCAGTTTATCCAGTAGCAACCCCCTTCATACCAGACGCCATCCCCCTACCTGTGAGGATGGGCTGCCCTGTGAAGGGAGGCGCTCCTCCAGAGAAGAAGGGCAACTTGGAGCTGATCAAGGTCAGACCTCATGACTTACACACAGCATGAGTATAAAGTCTTAACACGCAAGGGTGCTGGCAGAAATTAAAGAAGAAAAGCCACACACAGTTGAATATGTGTTATATCCTCTCTGTATATCTGAACATTTACCTCCCGCATTGATTACTACCAGTTGAGTTAGTTGTAGCCGGCCAGTGCTCTTGCGGTGCCGATGGAGCTCTTATTGCTCTGCTGCGTGGCTTTGATGGCTCTGTGTCTGTTCCCGGATTACTGTGCTGCTGTGTCCAGACACCAGCTGCTCCATCTGGATTGGAGCCACTTGCAGATCCACTACTTTCATCCATCACAGCTGGAGCTCTGCCGTGCACCCGAATGATTCTGATTTCATTCTGTCAATCTCGGCCATGAGGGGCTAAACGGCTATGCATCCCTTACTTATGTTTGATGCTTGAATGTTTTGCTTTTTTAATCAATAGTCATAGATTCTGTGCTTTTGTACAAACCCAAGCCAATAATGTGACCAATGAGAATTTTATTTTGAGGTCAATATAGAATATGTAGTATAATTGTATGTATTATATAATATAATTTGCTTGAAGGAAGAAGAGGATAGATTTTGTTTTCCACTATGTTTACCATTCTCTTTAAAGGTCCAGTTTGTAAGATTTTGGAAGATTATTATAGTAGCAGAACAGAATATAATATTGAGAGATATGTTTTCATTAGTGTTTAATCAGCTGAAAATAAGAATCGTAGTGTTTTCGTTAGAGTTACATCGTTTTTGTCTGTGATTGTGTGAGTTTTTCTTTACACTTTCTGGGATGTAGGCATTAAGACTGTTGGACACGTATTTGTTACGAGTTGTGCATTGGAACATTCACACAATCTCTCGCTCATATTCTTTTTTCAGATACCAAATTTTCTGCACTTGACACCGGCAGCCATCAAGAAACACTGTGAAGCTCTGAAACGTAATCATTTCTTTGTTTACTTGTGGCATTGTTCAGCAGAAAATTGTTATTTTCTTTGACAAGAAATATGTAGGCTTATTTAGCGTATGTAAAGCTGTCTCTCTCTGCTGTCAGCATTCTGTACAGAGTGGCCCTCTGCCTTGGACACTGATGCCAAATGTGACGAGCACTTCCCCATCAAAGTAGAAACCAAAAGCTACGTGTCTGCCGGCCCATCAATCAGAAACCCTGCAGCTCGCATTGTTCATCTCAGCGTGAGTTTCCCTGCTCTTTATTGTTTCTATAAAAAGGTTTTGACCTCAGGTTCAACATGATCATCTTTGCTTTAACTGGGTATAGAAAGTGAAGTCTGGAGAAACCCGACATGTAAAATGAGATTAGAGATTTGCAGGGATGCGTAAATCACCAGCTGACATCCCTGTGACTTCTGAAGAGGGACGTTCATTGTCCAGTGACCTCAAACCCAAGAAATGATCCCCTCACAGCTACAGGGAGATTACAGTCTCGGGAATTAGTTTACATTTAAGCATGTGCTGAAGCTCTGTTATAGTTCTTGTGTTAGTTTAAGTTCTCAGTTTTTTTTGGAAATGTGTTTTATATTTTATACCTTCTTTACTTTGCATCAGTGAAATATTCTTGGGGGCGTTTTGATATTCCTCTTAATCCTCTTTAACACTAATCCATTAATATGCAATCCTCTTCACAGACCACAACAATACATGTAAACAAGTAACGACCACAATCTGTGAAAAAGAAGATTGACGTTAAGGTTCTGTTTAAGATATTAGAAAAAGTTATAAAATACAATATAAAATCGGTCTATTAAATACAACAGATTTGCCACATGGGCCTTAAACAACAAACAGCTGCTTTGCTTTAATCTGCCTAATATTTTGTAGTTTTTACAATCCCATAACTTCCGTGTAAAGGTGTGTTTATTTTGTTTCTTGGATGAGGCTTTGTGTTTAAACAAATTAATCATATAGGCTTTCTCCCCACACAAACATTTAAAAATAAATCTTGCCTTACTACACTGCCTTTGACAAAATTGTGATTTTCCCAGATGGAAATGTGTAATTTTTACCATTAATCGCCAGCCATCTGCTCCACTGACACTTTGCCTTAGATTATATCATGGAATGAATGAATTATTTAGACATTAATCCAGGTGGATTAGGCAGAAAGATAGATTAGAGAGCAAATCTCATACAGTTAGTTTCCGAGTCCAGAGCCAGTGCACCCCATTTATTAGTTTTTTAAAAATGAATCCAATCTGTGACTGATGAACGTATGTCGTAGGGTGGCCTTTTAGTTATTTTGTTGTTTATTTAGACCCAACATTATCTTAACCACTTCACTGTCTCTGTACACATCTGTCTAGCCCCAAAGTCACGTGACCTTTGTGTTGTCAGTGCATTAGGTTTAGTACACAGAAAGCATGCCTTGCACACATTACCTTGTGTTACTTGTGAATGCATTTTTGTTGCACTGTTCAAATGATATGTCAGAGACATGAAAAACAATGTAATCAAGGAATAATCTCTGTTTTCCATCTATCCATTGTGCAGGGGCTTAGAGGTTATTCTGGGGCACAGCATGAAGGCCATGATTTCATCTGTAAAAAGTATAGTATTTTAATCAACACAGTCAAAGCTCTGTATAGGTTTAAAAAAAAACAACAAAAAAAAACATTGTCGTTAGTTTGGGTTGTGGTTTTATTTTATCTCAAGCGATAAGTCACTCAGACAGGAGTTATAGTACATAATGAAAGCACATCTGCCCTAATCTTCTTGTCTTTGTGTATTTCTCTTTGCGTCACAATGCTTGGTGTAAAAAGTAGTTCCTAAATTATTATGTTTCTCTTGTTTTAATCTAATTGTGTCTCTGCCATTGCAGGTAAAGCTGTCCAGTTTGAATCTAAATGATCAAGCACGCAAGAAAATGCTCAAACTTGTTGGGGACAGATACTGCAAAGATACTGATATCCTCACCATCACAGCTGACCGGTAAACATTCCTTCCTTAAGCCGCATTTCCTGCAGCTCGACTCAACTCTTTTTTTGGTGCCACCTCGGTCACGGTCTCAAGCAAGCTGATAATAAAAGGTGAAAGGTGAAAACACTGCATAGCACTAATAGCCAGGCTACAATCCCTGTTAGAAGAGTAGCAGCTCCTTTTGTGTATGCGTAGTTAGTGTGTGGATAAGCGACAGTCGGCAATGAACGCGAGCGGTGAAGAGGAGAAGGGGAGTAGTGTAGATAACCTGGCGGTAAATGTACAGTGTAGGTTACAGTTTGTCAGTGAATAAAGGTTCTCAACACTAAAGTAAAGGTCCCGTGTGTTGTTTCCCAACTGCGATCAGCTTCGCTTGTGTGAGGAAGTACTGTCTACAGTGGCAAACAAAGAAGAGGCACCAAAAGCGAGTCGAGCCGAGCCAAACCATGGAATGGAAATGTGGCTTTAGGAATCAAAATATCTAATAATAAAGTGAGGGAATGAAACAAATGAACTTAACTCTCTTCCTTTTTGTCCTTCCTTCCTCTACCAGCTGCCCTTTGAAACAGCAGAATTATGACTATGCCATGTACCTGCTAACTGTCCTTTACCACGAGTCCTGGGTGAGTTTGTCTTTTTTGTTCTAAACTCTGCTGCAGATACATCAGTCAAACTGTCTGGGTAGGGAGGAATACACCTCTGCCTTTTCTCTGCCATAGGTCTCCTGTGACTTTGGTCTTTCCTCAGTGTCTTGTCTTCTTTCATCAAGTATCCATTTATTTAAGGGCTAAACTGTACTGTGCAATAGATGAGTCAAAATATTGCATCTGGTTAACAGTGGTATAGTGAGCAGGGAGATCACTTTTGCCTTTTTTTGATATTTATGTATTTATCACCAATTTCAGTTTTTTAAGTCTGTAGACTTTGTTTTAAGTTTTGTTTTTAGAATTGTGGTTTTTCTTTCATCTTTTCTTCTCTGCTGATCTGGGTGGCAAACTGCCCTTACAGGGATAAATAAAGTTGTATTGAATTGAATGACCAAGTCACAACTTTACAGGTTACAGACTTACTGGCACAATGGTGTGCATTGAGATTTTGTTTGGAAAAAAAAAAAAAAAAGCATTAATAATATTTCAGAAATGAATACTCTGCATATTGTATTACAAAAAACCATTCTGTAAAGATTGTTATGACTTTTTATCTGCTTTGGTGACATTTACATACGGCTAGCACCATGGCACTGTACCTTTTTTACCAGGGGAATTCTTGTCCATCTTGCTCTGCAATCTGAGAGACTAAGCCCATTAGGCAGGTATCAGCCTTGAATGGGCAGCAGGATGGCAAACAGCAGCATTGTCCAGTTGACATTTCTCCACAGATGGGGGTAAAACAGACTCCCCCTATCAGGTGTTGACCCTGATACTCATTCACATTAAGCCAACCATGCCACATCAGAGAAGTCTGCCACAAGGCGCCAACCACACAAAAGAAATGACTCCCCCACCTATTGCACAAGATTTGCCTTTAGGAGCTTTTCCCGTCATGGTTTAGGCACATAAAAAAAAAAAAAAAAATCTCTCAGTTGGGAAAGGTGTCCGAGCCAGGAAGCATAACACTGTCCACTGCCCTTTTGGACACACAATGGAAGGCACAGTGCTTGTCCAGCAGGCTCGTGGAAGCTGTGAGAGTGGCGTAGCGTTCAGGTTGTAACGCTAGCCCACAAAGAGGCCAGTTGTTAGCAGCCACTGAGGTGATTTTATCTCCCCACTCAGGGAGACGGACCTTCCCTGCTAATTCCAGTGTGTGCTAATCCAGGTCAGCATTAGGGCTGACCGCTCGAAGCTGCCTCCAACATTGAGGAAAGTTTACCACAAGAGGCACTTCATTTGCGTTTGTGCCATCACACCTGTCCTTCCCTTTCCTCCCCCAACTGAAAATATTAGTTATTTTGCAGGTACATAAACTAGATCGGGAAAACAGGTGGCCATTCGTGTCTTGGCGAGTTATCAAACATTCGGTCTTTAATTTGGCATGAGGATTATCTGCAGATCCTTTTTATCTATAACTAGTAAGTAGGCCTTATTATTTAGGAAGCTACTGATCTATTCCCAAGTATCTATTCCTCCTCACTCACTTGGCCTGGTACCAGATGGGATGTTATGTGGATCAGATATGTATAGCGGTAATGATGGTCATTAACCTCAAACACCTGGAGAGCAGCAGAGCTGAGGCTCTGTCGCTGGCCTGCTTTAAGCTTCTGCACAATGGGGCGTATTGTTCTCAAGGGAATGCGATGACAGCAAGACAGGCAGCGGACAGAGCACTACATATGGAGAAATACTATCTCTGTGAGAGGAGCATCAAAGAAGGGGTGAGGGGGTTACGAAGGACCCCCATATATTACATCTGTTGCCATACTGTATTCCAAAGTAGAGCCCGAGCCAGATAGTTTAAAAAGTTTGTTCTTAATATATGTTGTTGCTACCCTGCAGAAAAAACATGTTCCACAATTAGCACAAAGTTTGTATTACTGTGATGTAACTGCTTTACACTGTACAAATCGAATGCTACAGACAAGTCAAGTTGGATAAATCTTCTCTTTTGCGGTCTGCGTTTTAAAGGTAACAAAAGTGTTCCGTTTTTCTCATTCTTTAGAAAATAGAAGCCTGGGAGGCAGAGAAGACCGTGGCAGACATGGAGGAGTATAGCTGGGAGGGCAGCCTGTCCCAAGAGAATATCTTGGACGTGCTGGTACGCATGAAAGAGGCCGGGGAAGGAGAAGGCGAGGAAGTGCGAGAGCAGTTGCTGGGAAGAAGAGAGGTGCAGGAGTATAAGGACTCTGTGACAAGGTTAAAGAATGAAGGAGAGAATGAGAGCACCATGCTGCAGTACAAAGAGGCTGTCAAGAAAGTACTCAAACTGTAATACAACTTAATGTACAAGTGTATTTACATAAGGATGGTAAACGAGAGCAGCAGGGACCTTTTTAATAGGGTCCAAACATTTCTAAATACTTCACTTTGGACTCCATGTATGTATCAGTAAGACAAACGAGATTACTGAAGATGATTAATGTTTCAGTATACATCAGGATATTACAACCTCAAAGGTCTCAACTAATGTATTTATTTTCCAGAATAGATTTACTGTCATATCAAATGTATGATGATGTCTTTAATACAAAAATAAAAGTCTAAGTTGGAAAGTTGAAGTTTGTGTGCGTGGTGGTTAAAGCTTTTATGTACTAAAAGCCCCTTTCAGTCCGTTCCTAGCCCAACTTCAGCTTCCATCCCACTCTTGTCACTATCCGGTTGAGGAGTGACACCCCAGTGAAAGGATGCTTTCATCAGCAGGCTGTTGAAAAGTACCTCACCCTTCTCTTACGGAGTTTTGGTCTGTGGTCTGTGCACTTTCAGGTCAGAAGAAACTCAATGCACTGAGGAGATGTGCTGGACTGCAGAAGGGTTAAATACTGAAGGCCACGAGGCAAAAAGTAGCCCCATCATCGCACATTGTTGATTATCTGAACAACCTTTGAATTGTAGCAGTCTTTTTGGAAGCGACCATTAACTCCCACTTAAGAACAACTGGCCAAAGTCCTTGAGGTTTGGCATCAACATCAGTTTAAACTCATTGAAGTACATCAAAATGTAGGTCAGCCAAAAGGACATCATATCGTCTTTCTTGAGGGAAATTGCTGTGGTCAAATGCATTGGCTGAGTTCAGCTTCTGTTGGAAGTCATTGCGTCACAAGTGAAACCAAAATCATGGCAACTATGTATTTGGTAATCTCATCTAGGCCATAAAATACCTCTGCATGTTCAGTTTAAATATACAGAATTGTAACCTTATTTTCTCAGTAAGACAGTAAGTATATTTCCATCCAAATCTGCACTTTCAGGTGTTCTCTCTGACCAGCACATACTTTATCAGACGCATGGAGCATCTTTTCCCTCTCCATGATGTTCTGTAGCGTCCCATCCTCTTCCTCTGTCCCCTCCAGCTCACGACCAGCACAATCGAGCAACAGCAGCTTAGTAGCACTGTGATACAGATGGCCACTGCAACCAGCAAGGTGTGAGCGGCCACGTGCCACCCAGATCCCAAACCCCCGAATGTGTCCTCTCCGCTGACACCCTGGCCCCCCTCACTGCCTGCAGTGTGGTTCCTCCCCAGGTTGCCCTTGGTGTCATTGGGATATTGCTTGCTGCTCTCTAGATTGCCCTTAAATGCTGTGGAAGTTGGAGGGCTTGTGGCTAGCTTAGAGAAGGTGGTGGTGTGATGATGGGTAGGGGATGTGAAGGGTTGTGCAGTTATGGTAGGAAAGGCTGGAGTGATCCTGGGATTGTAAGGGCTGAGGGTGGTTGCTGTGGTGGATGAAGGAGGTGTAGTAAAGCTGGGTGCAAGGGAAGTGGTGGCGGTTGTCAGGGTTGTTATTTGTGCATGGTTCCCTGAAGCTAGTGGAGTCTTTAGAGTGGTAGATAAGGCAGGTGTAGTTGTAAGAACTGTCAAAGGCTGACTGGTACTCTGCAGTGTGGTGGTGGTGGTGGTAGTAATGGGGAGCACTCTGCTCACTGTGGTGGGTGGTCTAACTGTGGGCGCTGAAGTCAGCGGCAATGCAGCGGGCGGAGGTGGGTGAATGAACTGGCGTTTGTCTGAGGGCAGCGGCTCTGAGGCGTTGACTCGACTGTAGTGGTGGGGTAACACACGTACATTGGAGGTGAAGTATTTTCCAAACACCAACAGGTCAGGATCCACACCTGGAGAATGAAGAGAGTCAGGACTCTCCTTTGTCACTGTTGTTTTCACTTTTTGCTCACAGTTAAACACACTGGCTTTTTAAAATGTGTCTAAAAGTGTAATAATGAATAAAATCAGTGAATTATTGCTTTACTTAAATAATTAAATCATTTCATTAATTATAATTTTACCATTATCAGTAGTAGTTGGTTTCATTGGTGGAAGACGTATTCAGACTAAGCCAAAAGGCCATAAGTACCATAAGTAAAAGTACTTTATATTGTACTAATATTATTATACAACTGGATTATTGTTACGGATGTTTTTGTGCGTAAATAGCATTTTATTGTTGTAGTTGGTTGAGGTGGTGATCATATTAACTACATGGGTAGTTTATAACAAATATTTTCTGACCGAACACGTGTTTAGCTCATGTACAACCTGTATCTGAAAAGTAACTGGTAACTATAGCTGTCAAATAAATGAAGTGGTATAAAATGTACAGTATTTGTGCATACAGTGGGGAAAAGTGTAAAGTGGCAAAAAGTACCTCAAAATAGTATTTAAGTAGTCATAACTGAGGGTACTGTAGTAGCAGTAATGCAACATTAGTATGTTTAATTGAGTGAAAACATGTATTGTGTGCATTCAGCCCTGGTCTATTTGCATATACCGTAGACAACATAATTGTGAACAATAAGAGTGAATGATACTTTACTTACCCTTTGTGATATTGTACAGAACAACGTTGCCTCTGTGGCTGAGAATACAGCTCTCCAGTGTCGGACAGTGCAGGTGGAAGCAGTTCACATTCTCTTGAGTGGTATCATAGTGAAATATGGCCAGATTACAGGAAACTGAAAGAGGAAAATAGGATAAATGAGGGTTGGATTTACACATGTGGACCAGTGGATGCACAACGTACCGTTACAAATGAACGAAGAGTCCAGTCATTGTGCGTACGCTGATTAAGAAGCTTTACTCACAGTTTCTCGTAAGGCAACAGGTGCGGCTGCATTTCAGCGCCGTCTCCTCCTGGTAGTGTTTCAAAAGCTGCGCTCCTCTCCTCTGAGACTCCTCGATGTCGATGAAAATCCCCGGAAAGCGTCGAATCCAGCAGTTCTTGTAGTAAGAAGTAGGTGAGCACCTCGACTCGGTGTGGCACACCAGACTCAAAGCCGCCAGCAAACCCCATGTGACATTCATTGCGCGTAATGTAAATCAAACCATGTTAAACTACAATCTCGACGGAGCATCGACATATCTGGGAGACTGGTTACTTGGAGTTGACGGGCATGAAGTGAAGCCAGGGGTCTGGTTTTACTGGTGTCAGCCCCTCTCCAGGTGTGTCACTGCTACGCACCTGGAGGAGGTGGAGACAGCGGTGCATATGGTGTCCAGGTTGTAAAGCAGTTACTGTATAAACGCTCATTAGCACTATATGAGGTTACATTTTAGACAGAATAGCACCAACTACTTTTTCAATATTGAATAAAAAAATTTAAATAATACTGTAACAAATAATTAAACAGATCTGCAAAGCTATTATACTCTACAATGCTTATTATACAAGTTAGTCATATTCATACAAGTGGAATACCATAGGAATATACAAACAAACACCTTACAGTATACAGTTGACTATAATGGAATCAAATATATCTCTGCAAGAAATATTATATTTGTGAAGTTGATCATATCACACAATCTTCCTCAGCAGCTGGAGCTGCCTATGTTGTCATTAAAATGCATGTTAAAATTTCAATTTTTTTCAGACCTGTTTAACGACTTGTGGCGTATTGGCTTGGTTTTTTCTCTTTGCCTTGAACACTTGCTCAAATCAAGAAATAAACTTTAAGTCTCAAAAATGTGTAAAGCTTATGTTTAATACCTATATTTTACTTTTTTACTTTACTCATTTTATTCCTGGTGTACAGGAAGGTGTTCCTTTCATTTTGCCTATCCATGTGTATGTGTATGGGAGCATTTTGGGCATTAAGAGTACATTTTTTAAGCGAGAGAACCCAGTTTTGTTATTCAAACTTTCAGTCTTACTAAAATTAAATTTAACATTTTACACTGTTTAAATTCTGTAAATGTGTATGTCTAACTATTTATTATTTAGACCTGTGAATACTCCTCCATAGTTCAGGTATTACTTCACCACATAGTACCCACCGTAAAGTAAATCTTGCTCTACTTTTTGAATATTCCAGTAACCTCTGTTTTCTGTCTGTTTTCGGCAAGGTCAGACATCTGAGAGTGGATTGCCATCATTGTAGCAATCTGCTTAAATTCTTTTAAATGGGATTATCAGAATAAGCCTTTTGCTCTCTGGTTTTGGATTTGCTGCACCTGTTAGGCTGTTTCTCTCACCTTTTGTGAGCTTGTCTCTCCATCACAGTGCCACGTTCTCAGTTTACACCTGGGAGTTGAAAGCACCTTTTTGGATAAAGAGCTAATGGAGTGCAGGGTGTAAAGGCCAGAACTCAAGGATGAACTGTTCTGTAGAAATGGTTTGAAATAGAAATTGTTGTTTTCCTGTTCACATTAAGAGGATACCATTGCATTTAATCAGCCTTAGCTGACACCAAAAACATATATTTGGTGTCAGATTCCATCCTACATGTTAATCACTTCAAAATTGATATTCTCTAATTTTATTTCCAAAAAGGTAATACAATCTGCTAATAAAGGAATATTAAACTGTATATAAGGTAGCTCTACAGATTAAATAAATGTCCTAGCAGACTGATGTGTGGAGAAGCAGCTAACCAGACTGATTCTTTGGTGTGGAGTAGACACTGGTGGATTATATGGGACCTTGGACTTATGGGTAGTGGCTCCTAAGTAAGACTGTAGTTTTCATGTATGTTACTAAACTCAAATAAGCAGCCTCAAATTTCACCATCATAAATTAAGTTGAGGTGGATAAGAAAAGTGTAATGATGTCTGAACACCACCAGGTGGCACTGGTCACTTCCATTAAACAATAGCCGGGTGTCAATCCCATACTATAAACTAATAGTATCAATGTTTTTGTGTTGAAGATATCAATGTTCTTTAACATTGTAACATTAAAATAATGCCCATATTTGGACATCAGTCAAAGTGTGACTTTGAACCAACACTGCTAATTCAACTTTACAAAGAGCAAGCTAAATGTTGTACAAAGATACAATTAGTACTAAAAATGCTTGGTTGATGTGTAGATTGACAGATCACCAATGGTATTCAATGAATCTGTCGTCATTTATCAAAAAATTCTTGTTATTTTCTTGATTTTGGCCTATACTGATTTGGTATAGCTACTTTTTAGTTTTTTTTTTGTCATTGTAAATGGAATATCTTTAGGTTCTGGGCAAAACGAGCACTCCGAAGTTGTCGCCCTATACAGAATACTTTAAATAATTGTAAGTTGCAGATGTAGATATTTACCTTTTTGTGTTCTGTCTTCCTGGAGCTGTATCACCACCATCTGCAATTAGTTTTAATTTTTGGAGCTGCAAGCAGCTTTCTCTTTGTGCATTGCATTGTGGGTCAATAGTGCCTATCAACAGCACACTCAAAAATCAAGCAGATTTAGGATGCTTATAGAAATCTTTGAATACATGTACTTTTGTCACCTATGTAAAGAACAAGATACTGGTTTTTCAGTATCTTGTGCTTCAAATTATTATGTAGTATGAATTTAGGAGAGCTAACATGATCCCATTTGTCTGATTTCCCCACTGTTGGGAACTACCAGAAATGTGTTTTTACAAGCAAAACTACCATATTGGAAAATCCTGCACATGGTGTACATACCATTATGAGCAGCCGATTGCAACAAACTTAGCAACAGAGGAGTTATGTAAGAAACACTTGTATTTTCATCTGACACTTCAGGGCAAGTTACAGTTACAGACAACCTCTGTAATCAGCTTACAGACCTAAATCTTGTTCAAGTTAGCAGTGTTATGTGCCTTTTGTTGTAGTCAGTTCATTTTCAATCAAAAACAGTAAGACAATACAATAAACATTTAACATTAAACATCAAACAAAGTGAATACAATAGCTCTTTTAAATCATTTTTAGCCTCTAATCTTCATAACTCTGTTTAGAGGAGATGGTGTGGCACTGTACATAATTACTCAAATGCTCAAATAACACAAAAGATTGGCACCAAAAACAGTGATATGTTATGGATGTGCAAAGGAGGGATTCTCAGTCTACTTTACTATTTTTCCCCATTGTTGTTTATATTTATGTCACTAGGTGGCACCCTGAGGCAGCCAAAATCCTTTGTAGCAAACATCCCCTGCACATGCATTTGTGTAAAAGAATCAAAAATCAAAAACAAACACTAGTAAAATGAGATGAAAACACCACCAATGACAACTTTCTCATGCAGGTCTGCAGGTCGGCTAGGTTTGGCTCCTTTGGTATAGAGACCACAGTGTATCATGGTCCTCTTCTTCTTTTTTTCTTGCCACTTTTCATACAAAGCCTGTTTCAGCTTCCACAATCCCAAATCCACCTCTTCCTCAACAGTAGTAGTGTTCCTGGACATGCTAACAAAACAAGTGTTTCTCTGGGATCCTTGTATGGGTTCAGCTTTAAGCTTAAGGAGGAAGTAGTCCATTGTTTAACGTTGTTGCTCAATGAAGTGCTACAATGGGTCTAGAGGAGGTAAGTTCCAACTGTGTGACTGTGTCAGTCTTTGACTAGCCTGTAAATATGATGCTGTGCTCCGTGCTCACTGGTGGACACCTCAAAGACGTAGGCTATGCACAGGAGTGTCTCCAGTGTGTCCCTGTTAGTCACCACCTGTGAACAAACACAGAAGGTCTTGTTCAGTCACGCTGTGGAGGATGAAAACCTACCAAACCTGGGTTACCAACCTTTTTACTATTAAAATCAAATCTATTCATATAGAAAAGGTCTTTTGCAGAGTGGAGGAGGCTTTGACAATATAAACAATAAGACTCTAGTGGGGCCAAGTGAGATAAACTGCTCCCTTAAATTAAAAAATAATTTTAAATATACACATAGTATAAAATAATCTAAACAATCAAATGAACAAACAAAATAGCCAAAAATTTAAATAAAGCGACTACACGCTTTACTTTTATGTAGATCTTATTAGGGATCGACCTCCATCATAGACGCAGTGGATGACATGATTGACCAATATCTTGTTTAAATCAAAGTGATTTCATTTAATAGGGCCACACTAGAGAATCAAATTAAATACGTGGCGTTTTCTTGATTAAAATAAAGTTTCATCTTGTACACAACTCTTTATTTACCCCTGTTTGTGGTTTTGGTAGAGCCATGGGTTTATGAATGTTCATACATGGCTTTAAATTCTATTCAAAAATAAAAAACAATAAATATCAAACACAAATATTAGATTTTAATTAAATGAACATACTGACAATAGCACATGGTTCTGTCAAATCTACTAAAACACTACATAATATAACATACTACTAACTAATAATGATTAATAAATTATACACGATGTCTCAGGTTTAAAATGTTCTGTTATTCTATGTGAAAGACTAATCTGTATCTGCAATAGAGCAGGAGGAGTTTGCCAATGCAACAAGCATACAACAAGCACACAACTTCACCAATTCATTACGCTCAATTGAGTTGCATTGAACACAGCACTTGTTCCATGAGGTATATCGATCCATTGTGCTCAGCTTTGCAATGTGAAATCTGTCATGCGAGTGCACGCATCTGTTGTCTATGTGTGCATGTCTGTGTGTGTGCACATTCGTTAATGAGCTGTTCATGGTTAATATGAGCTAAATCAGCCCATTGAGAAACCTAATGACATGCTGCCATGTAGTTGTCAGTGTGAGCTCAATATGGTCATTGTCCCTTGCCAAGTAGGAATGCAGCCGCCAATGGAAGGGACACCAATGTCTTTGAACCCTGGTGTCGAGGACCACTTTGTTACTATGGTGATACACTCCACTCTGTTCACTTTCCTCTATGTGTCCGCTCTCTGAGGAGCACACCGGCTCATTCAGAAAAGTCCAACTTACAGTGGAGTGCACAGAATGTTTTTACTCTGCAAGAAACCATAAAAAAGTGGTTCATAGGCAGTGAAAAATTGCCACCAGTTAATGGTCTGTCACTGTTACTCATAGGAAATATCACAGCCCAACCATATTTATTTAGACACCAACAGTTTAGCCGTTTCACAAACTCTATGACAGCAGGATATCTGCAAAATGCACTTTGAAACTGAAAGTGAATATGAATGTCCATGTGGCCTTATTTGCTTTATTGTCT